TGCCACATCCAGCCCCTGCCTGGCAAGCTCTGCTGGAGGGTTTGAAAGATCGAAGTAGGGAACAACTGCTGGAAAACCATGTATGGACTAGAAAAGGGTGACTGCGAAAATATAAACCTCAGCTAGAACTAGTACTTGATTTTCCTGGATTTCACAGAGACAAAAGATCCAGATTCTACACTCCCAAATGCATGACTGCGGGGAATAAAAGACAGGATAGGACTGATTGCTAATTTTCTTTGGGTTCCCCCTCACTGGACCCAAACAAACAAGCAATAACTGCAGCAAAAACCCCTTCAGTAAGCACCAGAACTTGCTCATCCCCACTGCTAACGCTGCCAGTGCAGGAACGGGAGTGCCCACAACGCGGCAACCTCAACCATCCATTTTGGCGTGATAAAGACTCCTAAAGGATGGATAAAAAGAGCGGCAACGACAGTTTGGGGACCAAGCCCAGAGCTGTGTCATGACAGACTCATGAGCTGGAGGGATGCAGATTGCCCGGCCGGGGCAGCAGCAGCTCCCACCTCCCCGGCCCGGCACAGGGGCCATTTGTTCTTCAGCTAAACCCAGGCAGTGCTGCAGCCCAGCCTAAACCAAACCAACATAGCCGGCGAGCACTAAATTCAGTCATTTTCCCCTCAGTCTCTTCTCTCAATTTCAGCTCTGACTCCTCTATCTTTTATTTCTTTTTCTAAAGACATATTTAGAGATGAAACCATTCATAACTGCCTATCCACAGACAGTTTGTGGCAGCATAATTGACAATGAGTCTGCTGCAAAAATGAAAATGCTGTTTTAATAACCTTGGCCTAAAATACATTCTGTTGTATGCCTCAAAGGGTTTCAATAAAAAGTCAACCTGTAGAGACATATTTTCTTGGCTTAAACAACAATCCAAAGCATATAAATGTAGTCCAACTATAATGACATATTTATAGGCCAATAAAGCTTACACTGCAGCTTTCATACTTCACTTAAAGGAAGTCTGTAAGAAGCAGTGTTATATAAAATAATCTGAATTTTTTTTCGAACTATAGCCGAAGGAATACAAATATGCAACTTTGCCATATTTAACCAATAGTGTTTACATTGCTTAGTTGCTAAAAATTTTGTAAAATGAAATAATTCCTCATTTGGTGACTTCCCACTGGTTTACCAAATATGGGTATACAAGTCCATTTATTACAAAGAAAAATCCCCTAAATAATTCTAAAGACAAAAATAAATAACGAGCGGCCTTAGTAGTGAATGATTTAATCAGACCAATTCTTCTGGAAAAACAGGTTCTCATGTTCATTATGAATAATGCATTCCTGAGCAACTCTATTTTTATATGCTGCATTGTTGTTATTCTTTATTTTTTTCAACATTTGAAACAAATACTCAGAAAGTTATAAATAGTCTTAAGACATAAACTGCTAGCATTCAATATTGACATATTTGTAGTAAAGGAAAGAATGTATAACATAAATACCTCAATAGGCAGAAAGAAATAAGTCTTAAAATTCATTTTTCAGGCTGAAATCTTGAAGCTCACATGAAAAAATGCCATTGCTAGATCTTTTATTTAATACAGTCCTAAGGAAAAGTTCTGCATAATTCACTAGTGATAAAAACAATGGCATTTTACAGAAAAAAACCCAGTTTCTGCAGAAAAGAAAGGCAAAGAAAAAAGAAAAAGAGAAAAGAAGAAAAAAGAGACAAGAGGAAAAAAGAGAAGGGGGGGGGGGGAGAGAAGAGAAAAAAGAGAGAACAAAAAAGGAGACAGAATTACCAAATCTGAATTAGGGTCAGCTTTCAATTATAGGTGTATGGCTTCTCTGGGTTGTGGATTAACCAGGTGTCGCCTTAGTTTTGGCTAAGCAAGTGCCACAGAGTGTATGGCACAGGGTATACGCTGCTCACACGAGGCCCCACTTTGCCTGGTTATTGTTTAAAGCTGCCCTGCTCCCAGCAGCAACGTGTTTAATTAAGTATGTTTGCCCAGTGCCACTTCTGTGGTTCTGTATCAGCCATGTTTTCATTTCACCCGGGTTATTTCACCCTTCACCACTCCTGGATAGCGTGTGAAACTGATTTTGTTTCTTCCATAAAGCTTTTTTGAGCTCTTTGGTAGGGATATAATTTCCTATTGCCTTCTACAAGCTCGGTTCAAAAACATCTAGTAGGAAAAATTTCAGAATCTACTCACTTTTACGGGATTTTTCTGTAATGGAAACATGCCATTTCATAGGAAAAAAGGGGTCGAGGAGATCACCTTGTTTATCTAGGCCTTTTCAACACCTGGTTTGGCAACTTCCTCATCTACAGCTGGGGTTAAACATAGGCATCACTACAGACTCATGCATGGCCTGCCAGACTAGCACAAGAAGGGGTTTGTTCCCTTTGGGTCCAAGATCTGCACAAAGCAGCCTGCCCCTTCACAGCCACCCCACTCTGCCCCGTGGGGAAGCCCTCCGTGAAACATCCCCATGGGCGCAGCACTGATGTACCTGATTAGGAGGGGAACCGTGCTGCAGCAGTGGGAAATGGTGGATGTGCAGGAGATCACCTCTCCATTTGGGCTGATTAGCCTTGCTAACATAGCTGTGCTGATGCTCTCACCTGAGGGACCTTTGCATGACAGCGCACTGCACTCCCTCACAGTTTACAATCCTATTTTAAGACAAAAATCACCCCATCTCATTGTGCTGGAGACCTACCACAGAAGTTATTGCTAGTAAATCATTGATCACTGCGGCTGAGCATTGCTCTGTTGGCAAGATGCTGAATATTGGAAAAGGTCTGTGGGCACACGTCATTAACAGGCACTAAAACTGCCATTTTGACAGCAGAGGAGATACAACACCGGCAGCTCAAATCTCTATGCCCTGGACACTGCACGTTATGCTAGTGCCTTTGCCTACAGCTCAGGAGACAGCAATTCCCAGAGCGCAATGTCAACCTTGACCAATCACTCAGAATGAGAGAAGTAAATCTTCTTCAACTGGTGGGTGTTAAACCTCCATCCCATAGTTAAGCCAAACACCAGAGCGCATGGTTTGCCTACAGGACACAACCAAATAGGGCTGCTTCACAAGCCATGAAGATCACTGTTCTTCTCAGATACAGGAAGCAAAATATGCTTAAATTCTTTGGTCCTTCAAATAGTAAAAAAATCATCTTAGTACTAGATTTAAGAAATTTCTTTGATTGCCTTCCATAGGCTAGATCAGTTCTCTGTATCAACGTGCCTCATCAGCTATCGGTCTTCTTGACCCTTTGGTTTCACTCCCGCCAACCAGTCATGATGAAGAAAAAGGCAATCATAATCAAACATTAGTCAAAATACCCTTTTCTCCTGAAAAAAAAAAAAATCCAACAATCAAGCCAGAGCCACCAACCGAAAATGAGCAACATCAGAATGTGGGTTATCAAAACTATACCATATAGTTTGCATTCCATAAGCGCTTTCAGTATAACCCCTACTTTCAAAGGCTTAACATGCAACCATAAGCTTTAGGCTTAAAGACAATTTTCTTTGGCTCCTAGGGTAGATAACAGCAATTTCATAACTTACCACAAGGGGTTTTTTTGTTTGTTAAAAACAAAAACAAGAAAACATTAACACACAAAAGTTCCGTCTGAAAAACATTAAGATTCTTCTGACACAACAAACAAATGCAAATAAATGTAGTGCGTAAAGACGACGCCAGGGCAATAGCAGAGACAATTACTGCATGTAATTACGAACCAGAAGAAACCACACAGAAAAGCAAAGGAAAAGAGAAAGAATTGCACAGGTTATTTTTTTTCCTGGAGATGTAATGAAAAATAATATCAACTTCCAATTGTACTTTAATCTTCCAACCTACATATCTAATGGTGAAATGCAAGATTGACAAAATCACTTCACCATTTGATAAGATCAGAAAAACGAGATGCAGAAGATAAATCCGTCAAGGCGGATCTTCAGCTTAGTGTAACTTGGCTTCGATGCCAACAGTCGTGCCATTATAAAACCGAACTTGGCCCCGCGTCTCCTGTTCACGTAGGTACAAAAGCATTTCCTCACATGCATCAGCCGTAGCTTTTAATTTCTTACCTTTTCATGCACTGTGGCCTAAATTTGATGCTCTTCAACTTGGAACGTTTATTAAAAGCTTGGTACAACAGAGAAACGTCCCTGGGATGCACTTCAACGTGCCGTCTCTGACAGCTATTACGCATCCAAGGTCCTAATACCACAAACAGGCACGTTTATCAAGAGGAGACCCATCTCCCTCAGACCCCCACCATGGATTTTAGAGGTGGGAGTCCCTGTCCACCAAAGCAGCCCCAGAACTGCAAGCCTGTCTGCAACCATCTGAAGTAGCAGAGCTACTGTTTCACTCCCTAAAAACGGACAGGTCTATCTGGAGAGAAAAGCAGGGCCCCCACAGGTGGCCTACGCTGTATAGTAACATAAAGCTCACAGGGAAACACTACAGAAAGCTATGGAAGAGACATCTCCCTACTGAACGGACACGAAGCTGACCATACGGAGACAGGACAAGCACCAGGAGCAGGTGACAATCCTGCGCTTCCGGAAGGTGGGACGTGAGAAGCAAAAAGGCCTTTACTCTCCCTGGCCTGTTGGAGGAGGCCTTGGGAAGATGTGCCAGGCTCCTCTCCCCACAATGCACGCTCTGACCTGATCCCCCGGCCTGCAGAGCCCCAGGGAGATCCCTTGACAATTACTTGTGCGCGCATCTTCAGTGTTTGAGCCTCAGTGCTCAGGGACATGTCTACGGAGCAGACAGGTATCACAGAATTACCCCACGCTAATCTCGAAGGAGCGGCAATGAGCTCACCACCACCACCACCCATCCCGCTCGGGTACCTCATTGCCACGCCTCCGCCTGAAGCACAGACATACCTTGGGAATCGTCGACGGCTTGGCAGGATCAGGCTCATCCGCCTTCGAAAGACGCTCACCCACGGGCCCCTCCCCACAGGAGAAAGTAAGGGATACTCACCAAGGTCAGCCTTTTCCTTCAGGATGTCTTTGAAGTTCAAGCCGCTGTTGAGCGTGGATTGTCTGTATCTCGTCAAGGCCTCCTGCCCATTCTTCCCCACATCCATCGGCTTGACCGGCTCAGCCCGGAAACCACACTTCCACTTGGAGAAATCGGACTGTGCCCATTTTGCCAAGTCCTCAAGCTTCACAGTAACTTTCTCTGAAACAGCAATAACTTCATCCTGCAAGAAGTGGTCAAATGAGAATACAACACGTCACGCAGGACTCCATGATGACTGATAAACCCATAACGTCACCCCCCCTATAGGGTACCGGAAAAACCTATCTTGCTGTTGGCAGATTAATTATTCTGTAATACAGAATAGCTAGTACTTAATTTATTCTTCCTGCCACCTAAGTGGAAATATTAGTTGTTTACTTGAAGCAAATACACATGATCTAAAGACAATTTCTAGGACCGGGGCAATGATCCTAAAAGGCATTTGAAATGCAGGTTGCCAAATCACATTCTGTGTAACCCAAAGCCTTGAGGGAAAGTTTGTTTTTTAGGTGCAATTAGCTGCAAATGTAAAAATTCATGGCTGGATGACTAATGGTTATAGCTAGTCCTGAAATAAATGGACTAAGTAAATCTCAGATTCTTGGAACTCTGACTCACCAGAAAATTCCTGTGTTTATGGTACATTTTCCCTTGGCTTATATACAAATATTGAATTTAACTTTTGTCCTAAAAATTAAATAAAACTGTGATGTAATCCCAAAAGAAATACTACATAAATGTTATGTGCTTCCCACCAAAAGAAACTTGCACATTCTCATGTTTCTTAAAACCTTTTTCAAGATCAGAACTGTAATTTTTTTTCCCTTCTTAAACATACATTCTAAGAAAAGCACTTAAACTTAGTTTAGCCGCCAGAACATATACTCGAACTAAACAGCTCTAATTGCTGAATTTTATCCTTCCAGGAAACAATCAACTCCTCTCAGTCATGATGAATAAGCAGAATGTTTTATAGCTGACTCCAGTGAGCAAGGGCTCAAGAAAGCCTCAAAAAATAAACAAACAAACATACACACGCACATATCCAGCAAGATACACTCCAGATTTTTTTAGTTAAAACAACAGAAATAATTTATGCTGTAATGAGAGCTGGCTGCACACCACACCTTGCGCACCCCACATTTCTAGCACTAAATAAGGTCACAGGTTCTTGAAATAAATAAACCGGAATCCAATTTTTCTCTCAAATAAACACAAGTATTTGCAAAGGGGAGAGAAATTCTTTGAGTTATTAAACAAAGAGAAAAGCAGAATTGATTCTCTCTGTGTGTTTTTTTTTTTTCCACTGAACACATTCCTCAGGAAATAAAATACTGCTCAATAGGAAAAAAAAAAAAAAAGCTTTATTGTGATAAGTTACACACAATACAAAACCTGAAGTATCTCTAGTAAAAAAGCAGATCTGATATTCCAGTCTCCCTTATACAATACAAAATCATTTTATAAGCAGGCACCTTCATTACATTTAGTGCAATAACAAATATTTGGTCAGAAACTAACGGCATGCTTATATGCTAAGCAAGCTTGTAATAAAATCTTTTCCTTTATCATTGCACAGCGTTAAGAGCTTCCACCGAACAACAAACAATAATGGTGATGTTTTAAATCTCTGTTTATGACAAACGTCAATACTTTGTAAACAAGCGTTGGGTACTACAAAGTACAATTTCAATGGATGGTTTCACCCAATTTCATTACACCATCCACTTGAAATAAAAAAGCTGTAGTTGCTATGCATTTTATAGCTATTACACAGTGATTATTAAATGTCAGGATGGAAAAAAAAAATACATATATATAAATATCAGCCTGCCTGCAGACAGTCTCAGCAATTTCTGGATGAAGTCCTCTTTTAGGATATTGGATACCATCACCAGCTACTACACAATTTCTAATATTCAACACTAGAGAAATCTATTTAGCAGCAGTTTTAAAAAAAACTGACTTGGAGATCAGACGTGTTTTTGGTTAAAATATTATTTTCCAAATAGCTCTCATGATCAAATTATTATGATTTCAATTACTAGTTTCTTCATATCCTTTCCAAGAACTGGTATGACTAATTTTGGCTGGCATACAAAGTAAGCTGAGCAGACAATTTATTAACCAAAAGAAAAGTACAATCACTATTACATCATCAATGAATAAACTTGTTTTCGAGAATACAACCTTCACACACACGCACATGATGTGTACACAGGAAAGGAAAAAAAAAAAAAAAAAAGAGAGAAGCTCTACTGTAACAAGGGCGAAGCGATGCCGGCACACTCGCCAGCTCTGCTCAGGCTGCCATGGAGGGGGAACTGGAGAGGCAGGAGCAGGGGGAGAGGTGGTTTTTGAGGGGCAGGGGAGAGCACACCCCAGCCATATGCTTTCTGTGGCAGCGGCACGGCCATGGCCATGAAAACATGTGGTGTTTAGCATCCCCACAGTGATGTGAGGGGCCAGGAAAGACCCCGCAAAACCACCGTTGTGCACTTGCCTCAGCCCTTCACAAAATGGCACTGGGACTCTAAGTACAGCTGCCATGGTGCAAAGGGGTGCCCAGAATGGCACCACAGAGCAGCTGAGCACACAAGTGGAGTGCATGAATATAAAATACAAAAGAAATTCAGGCTGTCACTGCCTGACAGAGGTTGTCTGCCATGACAGAGGTTGTGGGCCGAAACCCCGCCATGCAGGTCGTACTAGGCGATGGCTCCTTGTCAGGGCCGCCCCGTCACCCCTGCGGCAGCTGTGTCCCCAAGGGCACCCAGTCCTCGTCACCCCTGCAGCAGCCATGTCCCTAAGAATGCCAGGCTGGCCCCCAAATCATGTGGGATCACCTGAGGAGGGTGGTTGACTGCAGATCACACACTCATGGCTGCTAGGCTGGGCCTTGTGCCACTGCTGGCAGCACCCGCCTCATGGCTGTCAGGCCAAGAGGGCCCGTCTCGCACCTGCTGTAACTGCAGCTCCACTGCCATCAACCCCGCCAAAGGCCAGGGCTGTTCCTAACATTAAAGTCACCGCTGTGGGGTTTCAGGGTCGCCCCCGATGGACTCGGGGCTGAGGCCGGGCCTGGCCTGCAGAGGCGATGGCCCCAGGACAAGCCCCTTCTGAGGGAGGCCGGGCAGTGCTGCCTCTCCAGCACCCGGGAGCGCCCAGCCATCCTCCACACCAGCACTGGCCTCATCTCCTCCCCTTGTACCGCCAGTGACCACCATGGCTGCACCAGGGAAACACGGCCAAGTTCGATTTTAGCCAGAAAACAGAAAAATTACCCTATATATTTTAGGGCCTGCCTTGGGTCACCCTGCCCTACATGCAGTGGGACTGGGTAGACCTGATCTCTCTCGCCGTTCATTTTTTGAGCTGTTGCTCCTTTTCGGCCCAATTCAGAGTCAACTGGCCACGTCCTCCCCGACTCCCACATACCACAGCGGTCATGTGTTGGACCATGGTCCCCCTCCGAGGGCCGCTGCCTACGCCGATCCCGCCACCGAGGGACCGCACCTCCAGAGACGTTTTCACCCCGGCACCTCATCATACAAACACCGTCACCCAGCAAAACATGGCAGGTAGCTTCAGTCCCTTCTTTCTGAGGAGCCCGAGCCACGGGCAGCTTCCAGAGAGGCTGCCTTCCCCAAATCTTGGCAGTTTTCTAACACAAGAGGTCATCTGCCCCAACGCCACCCAGACAGAGGTTACCCAACTATTTCATCAGCTCTGGGATTTCGACGCACCTTGCCAAGCTTTCACACATCCTTAAGCAACCTTTCCAAGTGCTCAGACCCAAACCATGAGTCATGGGGGGTTTTTATTGTTTTTTTGGAGCAGCAGGTGACAAAACAGTCCCTTCTCCTTTTTTGTTAAGCAAAAATATCTCACAGCCCTGTGTCACAACAAAAGTTGCTTCAGGACCTGCAGGGCTCTGCCAGCCAGTTGAGCTCCCATAGCCATTCGGTGTCAACTGCTGCGCACCTACTGCCACGGCCCTTCTAGAGAAACCTTTTCTAATGAGATGACAAAGGAATACAGATGTTGAATAAATAAAAACCAGGTACACGGTGACACATGACTAACAAACCTTTAGAAGATTAAAGAAATCTGCTGTATAACCTTCATGTCATTCATAATTATATCTCCGTGTAAACATGAAAAACCACCCACGTTGCATACAGTATTCATATATATATATCTATACAAAAATCAACTCGTCGTGTATTAGCTATGCTCTGAAGCGATATGTTTATGAGGTCTCCATTGCGTGGTTAAGTCTTTAATTGCAGTCTTTTCCTGCTACAGCAAGGTGAGCTTTGCAGGAGGAAACAGCCAGCGCCGATTTCAGCTCTGCTCAGGAATGAGATTTATCTGGGATGCGCCTTTTCGGACGTTGACCAACCAATGACAACGCTTTTCCCAGCCACAAAGTTGTCTACATCTTGAAATAAGTACTGACTATAAAAAGAGGCACTTTTTCTTCTGTTTCTATAAAAGCGGGTATCTAGTCAGCCTATAATTTTAGCCCATCTTACAAGACTCCTGAGCAAAGTACGATACTTTCACCTATCAAGTGGGAAATGGGGAGATGGGTTTGTATCACCATCTTTCTTAACTTTCTCATCCCTCTCTTGTTTTTTAAGAGCTTATTGGATTTGCATTTTCAGAGAAATCGTCCAGGGAGAAGGGGACAGTATCTTCTCGAGAGCCGTTATGCTTAAATATTATGTCACTGTTGTCTGAGCAACCATCACAGCCTCCTAAAAGCACAGAATGCTATATTGCCTGACTCAGCAGATGGTTGAAATACTTACATTCAGGGAAAGAGGTCAGGTAGTTAGAATAGTTTAAAGCAGATGATTATTTTTTAGAAGAAATATTAACTCTTACAAGGCAGGGAGTCACAGGGTAGCACAGGGAGGTCGTACATCTTGATTGCACACTCGCATACGGTACGTCACAACTCCTCACTCATTGCCAATAACGAGGAAAGATTTACATTTTAGAGACGCCGAGGCAGCCCTAAAAGAATTACGGCGGCCGAGATATCTCAAAATTTTGACGTGCTGAGACTGTTTTCACTCCAGTGCTTCCAGAGGTCATTTAAGGAATTCTGGAGGGCACGAGCGAGTCAAACACCTGCTTGGCTGTCTCCTAACATCAAATACATGGCCT